AGCTACACATCCATTCTGGGGAGTGAATGAAGGACCATTTTAATGCAATGGTTTTGTTAAACACTTTTTTTTCTTTTGAGTGTGAATTACTTACATAAATTTAGGAATCTTTCTTAAAAACAACGAATAAGTTGTCATTGTCTTCTGACATTGGAAGAACTTTCTATTGTCCCCAAAGTGGGGTCCATTTTTCAAAAGTTTTCATTCTTCATTCCTTATTTCAAAAAATTTTTTCATATTTTTGGGAAACTCGTGGTGATTTCTGGATAGTCTCCCTCCTCACCTCAAATGGTAGAATAAAAACTAGTTTATAGCTACATTTATTGCTACTGTCCATACATTTTCCGATTTCTCCAGTAAGCCTCCTTGGCTTCTTCTGTTCTTATTCACTCTTCTCATGCTTGAGAAATTAAATATAGAATGTTCCTAAACTATGACACATCTACTCCTCAGTCCTAGCCTTTGGTTTAGTTTCTCTGTGCTTCTGAACCCTCAAGAATACGTTTTACTTTACACCTTACACATACATCAGTATTTAGCTCATAACTCAATAAAAGTTTAAGTCAATAATGGAAACCAATTTGACAATAAATTTCATATATTAAAAAAATAATAATAATAAAAAATAAACTTGCTTAGGGATTAAAAAAAAAAGTTTAAGTCAATATATGATGATTTCTTGTAACATTTTCTTTTTTCAGGCCTTTTTGCCCTTTAGTTGATAGAATTCGCTTCTAACCCAAATCTTACGGTCTCTAATAGAATTTGCTCTCCTGGAAATCAACAGTTTCACTAAAAGCATCAACATATCAAACTCTCCGTTCCATGACAATGTGTGTCCAGGGCTGAAAAATACCACGAGTTAAAATGAAGTTTAACACAGCGCCTGTCCCAAGCTATCAACTGAAGGCATGCATTTGTTCAACAATCAGAAAAGGAGATACTATTATGTAAAGTAAAATCCATGCCATCCGGAACCACTCTAGGACTAGACATTTCAGATAACTATGCTTTCTAAATAATCTACTTTAAGTAACAAAAATTGTATTTGAATCATTTTGGATAAAAAACTAAAATATGTTTTTCCTACTTTCATTAACATGCTCTATTGCATATAACTTATTTGATGGCTAAGTGTCATCAAAAACAGAAATTACAGCACAAAGATCTAGTACAACAATGCTTGGGGCCTATGCAAGTGTGTAGGGCTATGCACATCTATGTTAATAGTCTCAAATTACTGAGGATGGGAAAAGCTAGGATAGATTTTAATCGCTTTTTCTGTCTCTTATTTTGTCAATCAGTCACACAGACATATCATACTACTATAAACGCTGTAAGGAAACAGACGATGTATCAGGAGAGGGACTGATTTTGATAAAGTACCTATTCTGTGCCAGGTCTGAGATAAACTTTGCAAGGCATGTAGCAATCAGCCTGGCACAAAAGTAGAAAATGGGTAAACACTAGGTAAATGAATAGCACTAATGTGCCTACCTAAGCACGTTCTCTCTTATTTACAGCTTCTAATCTGCCATGACCTGGAAAACGCATACCCAAGTGTGAAAGAACACCATTTAAAATATGTCTAGCCTGGTACTTTGCACATACCAGGGGCAGCATGGCAAAACTGTATGTGCTGAACTGAGGATGGCGAATAGTGAGCATATATAATGTGCCAGAAAGTGTGGGAAGTGTCTTACACACATTATCTAAGGTGATACCTATAAAGCAAACAATATTATCCCCATTTTACAGATGGAGAAATTGAGGCTCCAAGTGGTTGAGTAATTTGTAATAAAATCAAGCAGCTAGTCGGTGATGGCAGTACTCTATGAATTCAGGCAGTCTGACTACAGAACAAGTAGTCTTTTTCTTTTTGCGAGAGTGAGAGAGAGATAGAGAGTGAAAGAGAGAATGAATGGGGGAGGGGCAGAGAGAGAGGGAGACAGAGAATCTGTAACAGGCTCCAGGCTTTGAGCTGTCAGCACGCAGCCTGACGCAGGGATCGAACTCCCGAATGGTGAGATCATGACCTGAGCCGAAGAAAGATGCTCAACCAACTGAGCCACCCAGGCGCCCCAAGAACAAGTGTTCTTAAGTGTAATACTACACTGCCTCTGAATAAATGTGCAGTAAAGAAGAAAAGGTCAGAAAGACATGAAGTTTATAACAACTTTTTGTTTTCCTAGTAGAAGTTTTTGCTGACTTTCTGATTCTCAGGGATATTCTCAATGGGTGAGGGTTACTGCACGTCAACATTATACTGACAGGCCGGTGCAATAAACTATGAAAGCCAGGCAAGTAAAGAATGAGCCAGTGAATTACTGCACACTACAGATGATGGGTTCCAAAGAAGTAGAAGCCTGAGAGATCCGTGTGTATTAGGGTCATTAGGGAGGGCTGTAAGAAGTTAAGACCTAAGCCCAAGAAGTGTAAGAGAAAAGACATGGGGTAAGAGAAGGGGCATTTTGTAGTTTCAGAATCAGCACAAACCCTCTGTGGACATGGCGGGGGGAGGGGTCGGTTGGGGGCGTTGGTCATAAGTAGATGAACAAACACACATGTGGTTTGGAACATTTATATCCAATGCAGCTGTAAGCTCTTATTCTTGCCAGCTTTACTTGGTCACTCAAACAGCTGGACAAACATAGGTTACAGTTGGCAGTACTAGTGGGGGTGGGATATGGCAGCTAATGCAAAGGCTAGATCTAAAGCTACGATTCCCTAGCTCCCGTTAAGGGTCCTTGAGGTGTGGAGTGTGGGCATAGGGAACCTACCCTCCATGATTTCCAAACCTAAAAAGGGAGGACATGCTGACCTAGGGACTATTTAAATACACAGTATCATTTGCTCAGAGATCTTTCACTAGGTTGAGCCAGAATCACCTCTAATTAATGACACACCTAGTGTAACTACTGCTGCAGATCCTCCCTGCCCCTAAGAATCACAAGGATGAGAGGTTAGGGCAGCTCTTAGGCCATCTACCATCTCTATAAGAGACAGGAGAGCAAGTCAGGAATCAGCTGTCTTACGCAAGGGTGTGGAGACACATCCACACTTTAGGACAGAGACTGAACTTATTAGCATGAGGCCAAAAGTAAAAACACTGTGGTAAACAAAGATTTCCTAGTCTTGCTTAACTACACGGCAGCTAAATCCTCAGCAAAATGTTAACAGTCTGTGAAGTGTGAGCCTAAGAGCAATTTGACCTGTACTTGGAAGGTGGGAGACATGTGCAAGTTTCTCACTTCAGCAGGATATACTAGGGGTTAAGGTATCTTCTGGCAAACCTCCAAATGCTACATTATTCACCTGATTAGAGACTGGCACTTGGAACATGTATGGTCTTTCTCTCATCTCTCAGATATCAGAAGTGCAGAAATATCAAAGTATAATCCAGAGAAGATTCAAAACCCAATGCATGCATCCAAAGTACGTTTGAGTTGCGAGGCACTGATCTAGGGACTGAGACTATAAACATACGAAGAAAGACGACATCACTCTAAAGGATGGAAATGTACCCATTCATTATTACGTTTTATTATGCCCAAAAACTCAAGACTGCCGGCAGGAAGTTCTTCTAGTGCCCCAGTAGCACTAAACAAGTCTTTTTCCTGCTTCTATGCCTCTGACCATAGCTTGCCAACCTGGAATTGTCTCACTGTATGTCACCTATCTATATCCTCACATCCTTCAAAGCCAGCTGAAGTCCTCCTCCTAGAAGTCATAATCTCCATCTCATCCCCTAAGTTCTGTCTCCTTCTGCTGAACTACTAACAATCACGGCGAGTACAGCCATCACTTTATTTAGAAATCTGTCATCCTCTAATTGATAACTTTTATTTATTCAATGAATCCTAGGTACCAACTGTGCGACAGCATTGCCCTAGGGACTGGAGAAACTGCGGCAAACAGCCCTGGTTTTAACCTCCCAAAAAAGAACTCATGGGGAGAGTTCTCCTATGCCGCTTTTGAAAATCTTCTGTGTAGACCTGGGTCTGTACTCAGTGCTTCATACCTAACAATTTATTAGAGCCCTGGGCTTCTTTGGTCCAAACTCACTCAAACTGAAGTTACAAAAACCAATGGGGAACAAAAGCCAACGAAGCCATTTCTAAATGAACTTCCACTTCGTAAAAACCTCAAAAGAACAAGGAAGGAAAAGAAAACAGGCTATGAAAGTGCTGCTGAACCAACACATTTTACTCACACTGACAAAGTACCTCCAATCCCCCCTCCAAGCCACACAAAAGTGACCTTTCTCTCTCCATCCTTACCAGCTCCGGATTCAAGTGTTTATTTTAACAACAGATCTCAGAAAAGTTTAAAGCACCCCTAAGTTTCCTAAACAAATCTTTCTAAAGCTTTGTTTCTTGATGAGTAACCCCCTCGATGAATCTCGCATATGCCACTTAAGAGACTAATCCAATAAGGCTCCCGACAACGAACTAGAATTTGAGCTGCAAGCACGAGAGGGGCTAAAAGAGCACCACTCTGAACGTGATAAATCCAGACACAATTTTAGTATCAACAACAAAAGCCAGGTCCTGCGGAGCAGGGTGGAAGGTTCCAAGTTCCCAAAAGAAGGGAACCAAGAGAATTTCCTCCGGGGGAGCGGTGGGATTCTGCAAGGCGTGGGAGTTTCTGCATCAGGTGAGGGAGATTTCAAATAAATATTTCTCTGCTCTAAAGTAGCTTGTGAGATACGACAGCTGGCACCCGAGAGCGGGCGAGGGTGAAGCCGGGCTGTGCCATGCGGCGGAGGCTGCCACCCGGGCACTCCCACCATTCTCCGCAGCCGGGTCAGGATGTGAGAGCCCGGCGCCGCGCGGACCTGCACGGGCGCTCCTGGCCCCGTGGGCCGCCGGTCCTCGACCCTGGCACCCAGCAAAGCCACCCGCCCGGGTCTCAGGCGCCCCGACCTCTCAGGAGCCCCAGGAGACGGGCGGGGGAGAGGGGATCTCCAGCCAGCCGTCCGGCCCCGGCGCGTTACCCACCTCAGCAGACTGGAGAGGGGATGGCTCGAGGACCCGAGGCCGCCGCCGCCGCCGCCGCTGCCGCCGCTCCCGGAGGAGCCGCCGCCGCCGCCGCCGCCGCCCCCGAAGCCTGAGGAGAGCCGCTTCCCGGACAGCAGCTTCTCCACGGCCGGGAGGTGCCCGGTGCGGGCCGCCTCCAGCAGCTCCTGCTCCTTCCCCATCCCCAGGGCCACCGCCCCCTGGACCCCCTTCCCGGGGCCGCAGCCGAGCCTGCTCCGGCTCCCAAACTTTCCGTCTCCGGGCAACGCACCCCCCAAACCGGCCGGGGACACCACCCCCCTCCCCCCCGCCTTTTCTGCCCAGGAGCGCGTCACTTCCGGGATCTGGCGTCACGCGTCACCGCGCCCCCGCGCCCCGCCCCCTTGCCCACCTAGCTGGGCGGGGCTCGGCCGGCGGGCGCAGGTGCCTTTGGTCTGCTGGAAGCCGACCGGTTTGGGTCGGGATAGGCCTCCAAGGGCAAGAGGAAAGCGCCTGATAGATAGCCGCTGTACAGGTGTTAGGGAACAAATGGGGCCCACCTGTATGCGCCTCCCGACGTGCGCTTCCTGCCCAAAGGTTTTGGGAGCCCACAGGACAGGAAATACGGTAATTCGCCCAGGCAGCGTAGAAACAAAGAGAGAAATACGGTAACGCGCACCTACATTTCCAAGTTCATTCTTTCGGCACGCATAAGTTAAATATGTGATGGATGTTGGGACCTAGTGATACAGAGGTGAATAAAATGGCCTGCTCCGCACCACAGTGAGGGAAGAGAGGAAATTTTTAAAATACAAATATCTCTTCTTCATGGTCCCAATCTCTGAAAAGGCTCGTTAAAGTGAAACATGCAAAGACAAGACCTCCCTTCCCAGTAGAATTTGTTTCCTCTTACTTTTTGATGAAATTAACCGAACTGACATAAGTCAAGTTTGTGAAACCGACCTGGATAGTGAGTACCGGTAAATTGGAAAAATCATTTAATTGGGTAGAAAGTATATATTGTCTTTGCTACTGGAACTGTTCCTACCTCTAATTAGGCACTCAACAAATGTGGAGTGAATAGATGGGTTGGATCAATTCTGTTCAAGTTATATGACTTTTTTTTTTTTTTTTTTAGGTGCTTGAGGAACCGAAAATGGCAATTCACACAGGCCCACGGCCTCTCCCCAATCAAAATGTACGAGGTTGAGTCCCTGCCTAAAACTTTACCAGGCAGCCACATCCCAAGACATTGGAGTACAACGGAAAAGAGTCTTCTACCGTCCCCAAACTTTACTCTGAGGAAAACGGATTAGGGAGTTAACCACGTTTTTAGAAAGGCAGCATGGAGGGGGAAAAACGCCCTTCAGGAAACAACACAGCTCTCCTTTACAAATGCTGATTTCCCAGAGTGGGAAACCCACAAACTGATTTCCGTACCCTCAATTTTCCGTCTCCAACCGCCACCAAATCAGTTAAAACGGAGCTCTTGAAGTTCCCTACGCGTGCCTTAAAATGATCCCTCCGAGGAGCGGTAGGGGTGACGTCATCGCAGCGCGACGATAGGAAGTAAGCTTCTGGGTTGCTCTGAGTCAGTCCCGAGCTCCAGAACCTGACAGGACTGCGATCTTGCCCTTCTTTTTCTTGCTGCTATGGATAATGCCTGCGGGTCGCCCCCGGAAAAAGGTGGAGAGACGGGGGAGTCAGAAGAAACGGCTGCTGCTCCCGGGGGCCCGGGGGCTACCGACACAGACGGAATCCCAGAAGAAACTGATGGGGACGGAGATGCGGATTTGAAAGAAGCTGCGGCGGAGGAAGGCGAGGTAAGGAGACATGTGTGGATGAGGTCAGAGGAGTACTCCGAGATTTTGTTAACAGAGCTTGCTCGACCGGCTTCCTGGTTGGTCCCTGCCAAGCCCAGATAACTCGAACTCACCATGACTCGAACTCACCATGACTCCCTCTAGATCTGCCAAGATGTGTCCGGAGAGGGAGGAGACAAAACTGTAGTGCGGGTTCGGTTCCAGAGCCCCAGCCTCTGGGTTAATACTTTTAATCCCCGCTCCTAGATATTAAGGCTACTTCTAAGAGATTTTTTAAAAATTTTTAGGCAAATTCTACCCCTAACGTGGGGCTGTACCTCAGGACCCTGAGATCAAGAGTCCCATGCTTTTCAGGAGGAGCTACTCAGGCGCCCCTAAGGGAGTTTTACATAGCCTCTTGTTTTCCTGGTGAGGAAATTGGGATCTGATGTCACAGACAGTGCAAGAGCTAGAACCCAGGATTCCTCGTATCCCTTTGACCGAAATACGGTTTCTCCTAGATGTTGCTCAAGCATAACTGTCATACGCTGCAGAGCCGTTAAAGGGAGACTTGGAGTTACTGGTTCAGTCATGTTTTTACCCTCGTGGGACATTTAACTACGACCAGTGACCTGGGTGTCAATGTCCAAGGGACTCTATAGCATAAACACACCAAACTCCAAGAGCTCAGCAGTGTTGCCTAACTGAGCATCAGTCAGGGGACTAGAATCTCAGCGTGCTCTGGCTTCCGTTTCTAGAGATGGAATCTTGGAGTCTTAGAACTTCCTAGGGACTTAAACAGATCATGGGGAGGACACTGGATTAGATAGAAACAGCCTTTCAGAGAATTAAGTTGCATCAAAATATATAAAGTAAGAACTTTTAGAAAAATGTGGGAGCACCTGGTTGGCTCAGTTGGTTGAGCATGGGACACTTCATTTCAGCTCAGGTCATGTTCTCACGGGTTCCTGAGTTCAAGCCCTGCATTGGGCTCTGCGCTGTCAGCAAGGCTCCAGCTTGGGATTTCTCTCTCTCTGCCGCTCCACACCTCGTGCTCACATGCTCTCTCGCTCTCTCAAAAAATAAGCATTAAAAAAATGTGATGAAACTTTTTAAAGAAGGAACCTTTAAAAAAGATCTGAAGGACATAGAGGATTTGAATAATAATTGGTTCAGTCCAATAAAGAGCTCACTACATACAGAAATTTGCACCCAACAGGAGATACATTTTTTTTGATACTTCTGACTGAAACACTGTTGTTGTTTTTAATGTTTATTTATTTTTGAGAGAGAGAGCACGACCGGCTGGGGGGGGGGGGGGGGG